TAATTTCCCCGGTAGGAGGTTCCGCCGATGGTGTACTCAGCAAGAGATCGGACCAAGACCTCGAGGTCCTCCTTGCCAAGGCTACATCCATAGAGGATCTCGCACAGAATGTCTACAGTAAGAAGAGCAGCACCTCAAGGAGTTAGACCTTTCCAGAGCGGTGCTCTAGGATAAGCGTGGTGTGTTTTTCGATGATTGCATCAATCTTGCCTTCCAGAGCATCAAAGTTCGACTTCAGGAAGTACGGCGTAGGCTTGTGCGTGCATGCTTCCACTTGTCACTGTCTCCTTCGTAGAGCATGCCGCCGTTAGCTCCACCTTCCAAAGAGAAAAACTCATACACACTCTTTTTGTCCATTTTGTGCCAAAGACGGTGATTCTGGGGGCTGAATATGTGCTTCAAAAGGTCCCTGGCGGATTGACCTCCCTGGACTATCATAGCAAAATTGCCTCGAAGATGGCAGACGCTGCACCTGAGGGTACCTTGGGTCATATCCTGCTCAATGAATGCCCATCTTTGCCAGAACGAATCCGGTACGAGAACTGCTCCTTTTTCTCGGAGGCGATCACTCCCTGCTTCGCCAGTTTCTGGACAATCTCCATGATTTGTGTGGCCGGTAGAACAGACACAAGCATGCAGAACAAGGCCGCGGAGGACGCTACCTATCGGGAGCAATGCATCAAAGAAGCCTTGCGGATGTACCCTCCGGCCCCCCTCATCTGGGCACGCGGTGCCACAGAGACCCACCACTTTGAGAATCCCCTCTTCGACCCGGATGTGAAGCCCTCCTCTTTCTTTGCGCCCTTGTTTGGATCATGCGACATCCGAACCAAGGAGTACATCAAGATTAAAAAGGGGACCAAGGTCATGATGTTTCCGTCTATCTTCCACCACGATGATCGCTTTTGGAGGAGGCCTGAAGAATACGTACCCTCTCGATGGAACGAGGACGCTCATGTTCTCGACGGCCCGAGGATAGTCAAGCGAAAAACTGTGCGACGTTGCACTAGTGGGAACCGAGTGTTAGATCTAGGGGGGGCAGAAATTATTGGTGACCAAGGACAAAAGCGCTGAATCCGCGTACGATGAGTCTACCCAACCTCTCCGGTACAAAATGTTCGGATCAAGGGAGAGATCGAAAGCGAGAGAGCCACTCGAGAGAACGTGACTGCTACGTCCAAGGCCGAAGAGTTCCACGAATGGTCGTTCCTCCCCTTTTGCCTAGGCTCTACGCACAGCTGCCTTGGGCGAAGACTTGCCATGCGCATGGTCGATTCCATGGTTTCCAACTTTCTGAAGCACGGTGTAAACTTTGAGCACGATGTTGTGCCACGCTTGTTCACTCAAAAGAATTGGATGGAGAGACAGAACGAACTATTGTCGGCCTACTACTACCCCTCGGAGCCCGTGTATGTTGAACTTAAAGAGGCAACGCATGCCTAATGAATCATAGAAGCCTACATGTATAATAGAGAATAGAAAGAAGTTTTGCGAATACAAGTGCAACATTCCTGCCTTTGTTGTCTCTCAAATACATGCGATGCCTAGTTGCAATACCAGAGTCGAGTCGCATGGACAACCGGACGAAAGATCCCATGCATGCAGTGATCAAATTTTGCCAATTACCTCGGTTTGGAAAGCAAAGCCAACTGTTTCAATTGCTCGACGCTCGCTCAAAGACAAGTCTATTCTTCACGAACTGAATACCGCATATAGCCAGCGGCGGTGGATTGAGTCGAGTCCGATTAGTTAGTTGGCTATACACATAGCCAACGTTCGAATAGGCGTCTTGAAAAAGTTTTAGCCGGCGGGGTCCTTGGCTAGTTGCTTCGGTCGGAGCTGACGGCGAAAAGATGGTACTGTACCCTTTTTGAGGAGAAATACTAATTCATACTTACTATTTTGCATGGAAAGGAAGCCACGTGATAGGTAGGGTGTGATCCCAAATACCTTTCTGGTACATTGGCAGTGCGTGATCAATTCCATGTGCATATTGTCGAAACGGGGCCTAGTAGACGCATCTTCCATGGGATACTTCGGTTGATTGGAGTAAAGAGCACCCAACAAATAATGGCTGCTAGTAGGGTGGAGGCATTCCCCTTCCCATTCCTGGCGGAGGAGGTGGAGGCACTCCACCAATACCATGCACTGGAGCTGCTCCCAGTCCAGCCGGAGGGACACCGGGAGGTCCAGCTCCTGGGGGAGGGACTCCCATGGTACCTCGACCCGCACCAAGAGCACGGCCCGGTCCACCGGGAGTTAGCTTTCCCGTGGCTGACGGAGGCGGTGGTCCTTCCACAGCCAAGCTTACCACGTTTTCTCCTCGGATGAGTACCAGACCCAGACTGCGCTTTTCGGTTCGTTCTTCCAGCAACGCGGCTCCACCCTTGCTCTTGAGCGTGCGGAATTCATCGGCTTCACTCAGGACCAAGTTCAGGTGCTTATCAAATGCCAAAAAGGTACCGACAATCGATCGGCCATCGTGTAGCGTCACTCGAAGGCGATGCTCCACATAGCGCAATAACTTGCTACCTTTTCCACTGGGCTATAAATAATCAGAAAATTGATTGAAGTAAACAAAACGGCAAAGGCAAAGGATGAGATAACGAAGCAATCTTTTTCGAGTACGCAAAAGCCAGTCCATGATTAGATGTTTTTGCATTGCCAGGAAAGGCACACGAAGATCAAGGAGCACGTACCATTGTTTACGTGTTGTTGACAGTAGTGTAAGGAAGTCTTTAGTACCGTACGATATGGGCACTTCGAGAATCCTAATAGCGAGACATCCAAAGTGTTGAGTGTTGTGGCTGGGCGGTTGGTTGTCGCTGTGGTTGGATGGAGGAACTTATGTGATTGTCAATCGTGAGTTGAGCGTCATTATCGATTAGATTCTTGATTATTCCGGATTGAGTCGAATGATGAATCGAATCGAACGATGAGCCGCCACGGCGCCACCACAACCAACGATTCAGACACAACAACATCCAACATCCTACTACCCGAGAGCAACAGCCCACTCTCCACTCCTCTACACTTTAAAAACCTCCAACTGGACTGCTGTATGGAACAAACGAAGGGGTGAGAAGAAGAGCTGGTTCACCTCAGGGAAGAAAACTTGACGTCCCTTGGTCCTACCGTATCTGAACTTGAAGCGTTTTTTCTCTTTCGCTGCAATAACGAAGGAATTTCCACATCCATGAACACTTGCAAACCAGAAGACATCCTTTTAACCCCTGAAGAACGTTATGATGTTTACTTCGTCAAATCCAGTGAACGACCTCATTTGTTGGAGACTTTTGATAATAATGATGCTACCTCTGAAATCAACCACAAGGAACTACCGCTGATGGATGGCTGTGACATTCCGAGATGGCGGGCGGAACAACTGGTCCCTTGCTCTCCGTATTGGGAATCAGCATTGAATGTTGGATTTGGTTGTTCTCTGCTGCGACGAGAACGGCAGTTGCCACTTCGACCATCCAAATGCTTCCAAACAAGTACGAGGTCACCGTGGGAAGCCTTGCAACAATATCTATTACAACAACCCACATCCCCTTGCGTAGAGCGCATTTCCTGTGCTCAAGCCAGTCAACCATTGGCTAATAATAATAATAGCAATGCCATGAAGGAAAGCAGCATTCCCCAGCGCAAATATTTTTCAAAGTGGGAAGAGCAAAACTATCCTGTCATTGTGGAGGGTGCCACCGAAGGGTGGAATTTGGAAACATGGAAGTTTGACAATCTAGTACAACGGTTTGCCAATGTGAGGTGGAGATTCAGTGACACACACGGCGCCATGATGTCACTGGCAACCTATGCCAAGTATGTCGCCAGTGAAGGGTTGACCGATGATTCACCGTTGGCCGTGTACGATTCCGAGTTTGGAGAAGAGAATTCACCCATGCACGAGCTATTGGCCGATTATACGGTTCCTCCGTGCTTTAGTGATGACTTGTTTGGCTTGGCAGTGGAGGATGATGATGATGAGGACGACGATGATGATAATCATGCAAACTCTCGTCCACCATGGAGATGGATCCTGGCCGGTCCGCCACGCAGTGGGACAGGGTTGCATATTGATCCTCTTTGGACCAATGCCTGGGTGACGCTGTTGCAGGGACTGAAGCGTTGGATATTGATTCCTCCCCACGTGGAGCTCCCCGAAGGTGCTGGATTGCGAGAACCGCAAGTTCCCTCAGTGATTTGGTTTCGTGACTATTATGACAAGGTCAAGCAGCTGGAAGGGGTGGTAGAGATTCTGCAAAAACCCGGAGAAACAGTGTTTGTCCCCAATGGTTGGCCACATCTCGTGCTGAATTTGGAACAAACGGTGGCCGTCACACACAACTACGCGTCTGAATTTGGACCCTTTGAACGCATGTGGGATGAGACGGTACAAAATGAACCAGAGTTTGCACATCGTTGGTACAAAGGCCTTTGTCGGCATCGGCCAGATCTTGCCAGTCGAATCCAAAGGAACAACAATAGCAGTGAGGCCTGACTGGCAGATTCTTGCCCTTGGCTGGATGCGGATGCTCGACGTGATAGGTTAGGAAACTGTTGCCAAGCCTGTGGAGTAATCAATCCAGGCACCCGTGTACCATGACTGGATGCTGCTCCGTTTGTGTGCTACCGGTACCGTCAGTCCGGGAATGGGGTGCCGTGCCGCAATCGATCTTTAGTTTCAACAACCTACTCATATGCTGCTACAATGGAAGGGTGCGGAGAGAACGCAAAGGTCAGGTGATCAGCTCTTGTCTGGGTATGTTAGCTACTTTAACGGTAGGCACGTCGAAGCTCCTCTCGCAAAACCAAATGGTACTTCAACCCCCTTTTCACAGCGGTACCAAAAGACAATAAAAGTATTCGTCAACAAAAGAGCATGCTACTTCTTTTATTCTGTGTGCCTTCGCTTTGCTTTCGTTGGACAGCACAAAGCAATTAGCCTAGTGTCCCTTTCCCTTGGGCACAACCCGAGGAAACTTGGTGCTTTCGGGTGCCTTGTGGACCATACGGTAGAGTAGGCGTACTCAATTCCAACACCATAGACACCAGCCTGGGGCTTGAGCAAGTTCATCAAGTTGTCCTACCTCACGGCGAGCCCAGTCACGCTGCATGCTCTTTGCTTGCTCTTCGGATGAAACTCGAGGTTGTGATCCTTCGGTATCGGATCCGCAAGCTCGGCGTCGAGGACCTGGGACGTGCTTAGCTAAAGGATTGAAGGGACACTTCCAACGAGGTTGACGTGCAAGGTTGATGTCAAGGAGACGCCATTGCCAGCTGGGAAGCTGGAAGAGTGCAAAAATGATCGCGCGTTCTGTGGCGTTTTTGGCAACTTTGCTGGCTGCATCTTTGCAATTCTGCACCCCCTCCCTCTCCCCTCCGTCCCTCACAAATTTTCCCTCTGAGACGAAGCTCTGCTCAGCAAGAACGAACTCCAGCTAGCTAGTTGAATTGGACCGTCGTTTGTCTGTACCATGCTTGGGTTGTCTTCTGCCTCCCTGGTGGTTGCCTTGTTAGCTGTTTCTCTCGACAAAATTAGCTCGTACTGGACGGGAAGAGTAGCCGCTGATGAACGCGTCGTATTTTTCCCGACAGCAGGACGTCAGCTGAATCAAACACACTGGGAGGTGCCAATACATGGATGGATCTTTGAGCCAGAACAAGAGAGCAAGAAACGCAAAGCCTTCTTGAAGGTCTTGGCCAAATCTCTCAAGGTTTCAGACCCGGAGCAGAAAAGTATTCTCAATCGGAGGATGAGACCCTTTGTGGTGGACAATCAAAGCTACAAACGACCAAAGATTACTCTTAGAGGCTCCACGTTTCGAATGCCAAGATCAAAGAAGAATGGACACTTTACCTCCACTTTGATTCTTCCGTGGAATAGCAAAGAAGCGACAACAATCCGTTACCAAGCCCTTGATGATACAGGTGGTACCAACAGACGTTTTGAAGGTGCTGTTCACCTGGTACCTCGCACGGGGGTTTCTGTCATTTCGGATATCGACGACACAATCAAAATCACCAACTACCTTGACAAGAAGGCTTTCTTGAAGAATACGTTTCTCTTGCCATTCCAAGCAGTGCCAGGAATGGCAGAGCTCTTTCAACAGTGGAAAGCGGACCACGAAAACTGTTGCTTTCATTTCGTTTCAGCCTCGCCGTATCAACTGTACGAAGAACTGGAATCATTTCGTCAAAGAGAAGGCTTTCCTCCAGCCACCTTTCACCTCAAAACGATTCGACCAAAAGACAAGAGCATTCTCCAGTTGTTCGCGGATCCAGTGGATTACAAACGTCAACACATTGAAGGCATCCTCAGGAGATTCCCAAAACGGACTTTTATCTTTGTGGGCGATTCCGGGGAGAAGGATTGCGAAATCTATGCTGGAATCTACAAGGACTATCCAAATCAGGTACAACAGATTTGGATACGGAACATAAACTCGGCAACTGCCGAACGTATGAAGGGTGTCCCTTTTGAAAAGTGGCAGTACTTTGGGAATGGAACCGAGCTGCTGAAATGACTGCTTTCTATCCTGCAGGAAAAGAGCAGACTCTTTGCTAAAATCGTGTGACTCCTGACTACTGCATGCAAAGAATACCGGTAGCACCACTGCGATCAGTGTTCATACCAGTACTGGTACCCTGAAACATCCTCGGGATTCTCACAAGCTTCGCGACTGCATAAATCTGACGGGCGGAATCACAACGCGGGCTAGCTATAGCTACGGTGGGCGCATGAGCCTATTCATTCGTTGCAGTTGTTGGGGTTGCGGTAGCCGCAAGGCGTTCTAGTAACATGCAACTCAATCTATAAAGTTATTAGCTAAGAATATATATCCAGAGCTCCGGGTAGCAGGAGATCTGTTTGGGATTCAAGTCATATCAGCCATGAAGTCATAAAAGCAACGAACCATGTAGCAGCAGGGGTTCTCAATCCCTTCTGTGCCACCCTAACGCGAAGAATCGATGACATCGATTCTACACATTGTGTAAGCCAATGAAGCAAACCACGGCAATTTCTAAGGAGTATAATCAGCCTCGTCTTCCTGCGCCGCATCGAAGGGGGCAAAGACACGGACACGGCTGAGGCCGCCATCGGGGTAGATGCTCACGCGGACATGCGAAACCTTGCGTGTGCAGTTCTCGATCTGATCCGATTGGCGGTCAAAGACATGCTCAGAATCGGCTGCCATGCGGCAACGGGACACCAGAGGGAACCATTCCACCTGCTCATCCTGCAAGTTCTCTCCAGCAGCAAAGGTTCCTTCCACCTGTACAGACTCTGGGTAGTTTCCTGAAAAAGAACGATCAAGAAGAAGATGAAAAGAGGAATGGTTGAGAAGGACAATCGAGAGACCTCAACATACATCCGCCATACACACATTTACTTACCGCGAAAGTGTTTGGTATCCAGAAGGATCCGAGCTACTCCATCAGTGGCCACATTTCCCAATTGGATGATACACCAATCCATCAAGTCACTATCCACCAGGCCAGTGGCGTTGTCTCGTTTCCAGCTGGCAGGACGCTCTGGGTGCCTGGCTGTCTCCCATCCATCGCCCATGTCCTTGCCCAATGTGGCCTCGAGGAGGTTCTGAGGAGTACCGTAGTGCTTGTTGGAGCAGGCCACAGCTAGTCCTCCCAAGGCTTCAGCCGATAGCTCCGGGAACTCATAGGCTTGGCGTGAGGGAATCACATCATTGCTGTGGGGAATCACTGTGCATCGATATCCAGTCTTGATGGGGACATAGGGCGGGCGACGAATAGGTGAGACTTGGTCCTGTTCTTCCCAGTGGCCCCACAAACGGAGGCGAGCCACGCCACCATCAGGAAAGTAGTTGATGCGAAGATGGGTTCCATGAAGGTTCTTGATGTCACCGTCAAAGTGAAAGAACTTGAGCCTAGAGGCTTCGTATCCTGGTTGCAAGGGAGTGCAGGGGAGGATCTCCTTCCATGGGGCAGAAACTCCACGACAGACTTGTTCGGCCTGTTCCACTTCTTCGGGGTTGCATCCAGTTCCTTGGACACACCCATGCAAGAGTCGTTCCAAGCTTCCCGGGAGTCCCTTGACCATTCTTGTTTCTTCTTCACAGGACAGATCGACCAGCTCCAGACTGATGCGAGGGACATTGTTTCCCGTAAAGTGGGCCGTGTCGATCTCCACTCCTACAATACGAGAAGTTCGCTTGGCCAGTTTGATTAGACACCAATCATGGCCAACCTCACGACGACGACGGGTTTCCCAGCCATCCATGACCTTGCCCTGTTCGCAAAAGGCGAGTGGATCAAAGTTGGGGTCATCATCGCGACAAAGATTGGAGGCAGCAGCAAACCAATCATCGGTAGCAAAGAGGACCCGAGCACCTTGAATTTCGGAACAAAAGTTAGTTAGGGTGTTGTCTTCGGCCAGAAAGGGTGACGGAGGCGCCACGTTCTTGGCCGGACGGGTATCCGAAGTGGACTGAGCTTCCGCATTGCCTCCGACAGTTCCAATATCGAAAACACTGGTAATGCTTCCAACAGAAGCCGATTGATGAATGGTCTGGGGGGACGAGGTGGATGTCATTGTTCCTTGGAAGTAGTAAGTTAATGGAGTTTGATGGGTAAGAGGTGGTGGGTATCTTCGAGGCAAATGTATGTGTCTTTGTGTATGACGTTGTGCTTAGGGTTGGCCAAAAGAAAAGTTGTGAGAAGAAAAAGGAGGTGGCGAAACAAAGAATTCTGATCCAAAGCTTCCTTTCCAAAAGACGGAGTTTCGAAATACTGCTAAGCTGTGGAAACATACGATTGAACCGCTTCAGTCCCACTCAACACGGAAGCAGGAACATTGGAAATCGAACAAAGGTTCAAGGTTCAAAGGAATGGCTCTGAGTTTGCTGATAAGATACCGGTATGATAGTTGGTATGGAACATGGCAATGAATGACACTGTTACTTTATAGAATATGTTTTTTCCGCTACGGTAGTAGAAATGGGGACAGCAGTAGAAATGGGGACAGAAGCTTCCACCCTCGCCCATTGCTACGGTGCTATTGCCAGCTTCCGCAAAATCTGCTACAGAGATTGAACATCACCTCCAAATCCGATGTAAACTTGCCTTACGCACTACAGACGGAGTCTCCCACGCTAGCGAGCCACGCAGAGAGGTGCGTCGCTCAGATCGATTTTCCATTCGAAGCCACACAATACTAGCTAGTCCAGTCAAACCCAGAGATTGTTACTCGTTGCTGGTTTGATAGTCTCGTGTGTTTTCCACTCGTACGGTAGATACAGACAGAAGACGGAGTCTATCTCTACTGTATCTTTGCCAGACAGTCAGGGTCGCAGAGCTTCGAGTGTCTCGGATACCACTGTCGAAATCGAGAAGCCTCTTTGCTCAAGTAGCTACAAGAGTGCAGCTCCCAATCATCACAGAGGCTCAGTACACCCTGAGACTCCGAGCTCCTTCCCCATATAGTTTTCAGATATTCAGCCATACAGTGAAACATGAGGATGATACAGAACAAAGTAAGGTTCAACATGGAGGTGATGCTCGGGCCTGCTTCTTGATTCTTGATGCCCACGAACTCCAGAACCCATGCAGTCCGAGGCTGACGTATAAAGAAGGGAGGATTATTCTACTTTACCATTCTACTTAGCACGAGAAGATGATTAGATCAAACTCGAGCGGGTAGTCAAGAGTTCGAACAAGCAGTCTCACGCGAAAAAGCTTTCCAAGCACTCTGGGGAGTTCTCGAACAGTCAGGTGTTTGTATCGATTTGTCCTGGCTGAGCTCCTGGCTGCATATCTATTGGTCAGTGGATGAAGCATGACGTTTCAGTCAGCCAACGAAAAGCCGCGGGAGACCTTTCAGTGACAGTTGGAAACTGGTTTTGCCCGGATCACAATATGCGACGACGCTCAGCCATCCAAGCAGAATGATCGCGAGCATCCTCGCCTCAAGAGTTGGGACATACCCGTACCGTTATACATAGTAGTATGCCCCTTGCATGCAATGTATCGTACGTGTACATACGTAGTACAGTGCCCAGCTGTTGTCCGACGGTACCATTAATAGTACGGCACTGGTACGGTTTCAGCGTTTCAGCGCATCTTGGTTTTAGTTTTCCACGCTCCGGATCCACACCCGACAGGATGTTTCGGTGAAATCTTATTCGAATGAATCGAATCATTAGATTCGAATGAGGACATCCAGACTTTGATCTTTTGGCCGCTGCAAGTCGAGACGTGCGGGAGAAAGTTGGCTTGAAGGAATGACGGTGGTAACCTCGGAAGGAGGCCACAAAGAACCTCCAATGCACTCTCGAAGACAGCCACACCAACAGCGCTCACGTCACACGCAAGGACAAAGAAAGCGCAGGCACCAGCCAAAGCAAAGCTGTGGCACACGGAAATACATCGCAAACTCAACATGCAGAGCCACCCATAAAAAACAGACCAGACAGCGGATTCACGAGAGACGGCTCAAAGAGTTTTACCAAGATGATGCCATAGAAAGATTTGCCTATAAAGACAACGATGCCCCGCAACATCGCTCGGAAGATGTCTTGGTTCTGAAGCGTGCCACGCCATCTTGTGTTTTGTCCATTTTGAAAAAACGTCTTCAACAATTGTGCCGTGAAACCTCCACCACTCTCGCCATCTCGCCATATCCCAAGGAATGAACCTCATCCACAAGGGTGAATGGTGTGACAGGTGCATTTTGCAGGACAGCAGCACCCTGAAGAGCATCACCAACCAAATCGAGTGGTGCGAAAGCCCCAGCAGTTGGAAGGCTGATTTGAAACAGGCGATGTTGTCTGAGGACCACTTGTGGGAAAAGGAAGAAGAAGAAGACACGGCATGTGCTTCCTATGAAGCTGCTGCCTGTGGTGCGCGTTGCTTTGGCAGTTCAATAGAGTGGTTTGACATACATGGGTGTTGCTGTTGTGTTTCGGATTGGTTCTCTTGCTGTTTACCAAAACCTGCCTGTTTCAAGGACGCATCCCAAGACACGTCTCCTTGCAAGTTCTTCGCAATCCTAAAGCTGGAGGTGGGCGTGAGCAAGCGTTTTGCTTGCTAAACATCTTCTTCTGCTTCTCAAAGGCAATGAGAGGCTCCACGCATTGAAAGGCTTCATGGTGGACATGAGCAGCTCACTAGACTAGCCAGGTACACTGTACGCCTCATGTGCCATGTCGGAAAGATTGCGCTAGAGTTGGGGAACAGTGTGAGATTGATGCTATCTAGCCACCAGGCAGAGCACCAACCTAGAGGTATCCAGGGACTAGCTATCGTACTAGCTAGCTCTAGCTAGAGCAACAATCCTTTTGGCTTGTGCTGGCTTCCTTTTAAACCCTAGCTCCAAATGCAGTCTGTAAGGAGCGTGTGCGCTTCTAAAGAAGGCTAGTCGAGTCGAGTCAGTCGTGTCGAGTCGTGGACAATGTACGCACGGTACGGTGCGGTACGAAAGTAGCTCGTGAATGCAGTATTCAAACACTACGATTGAGTCATGTGGGTTTGACTTCAAAACACGCGATTCATTTAGTTAAGAAATACTCAAGTGTTAAATGTCAACGATGCGTTCTACGTTCAGAAGTCATTGTTACTCATTGATAGATAAGCCCTTGGCATTCTGTCTATATCTTTCCAATGCTGTGACCTGACTAATGGGGGAATTGTGACATGTGAAAATGTCCACTGTGAGCGAAGTGTACCCGCCGTCCCAACCACCAAACGCGGCACGCGGCCTCTTCCGAAAGAACAGCAGGAGCAACTCAACTTGAGCAGCAGCGGACTTTGGTCCAGCCGTCGAGCCATTGACCGATCGTAACCGTAGGAAGGGACGTTGGCGCTTCAACACTATTTGGGGACTACCTGGCACTGCCTTTGTTGTTGTTTGTTGTTGATGGTTAATAGACCGAACGAGACAGAGACAACCTCAGCTAGCACACAGACGCATTCTAGCATCATGAATGGACGATATGTCAGCTACGCTGATAAGATTGATTTTCTTGGCGACTTTCAGCAAGCCAACGGCGCTAACAACACGACAAACAACAAGCAACAGCGGACGAGTCCATTCCCCTTTTTGAATAACAACCCACTCGGAAATGGTGGCCCCACTGGAGACGACTATGACCCTGCGGCGTTACTGGGCGCCAATGCAGCAGCCTACAACTCGACTGCTGCAGCTCTGGGAAACGCTGGAGCCCAACTTTTAGCAGCAGGAGCCGCCGCAGCAGCAGCCAATCGCAATGTCGCCGCAGCGGCCGCAGCAGCAGCGAACACAATGGCCCCTTATACTCTTTTTCGACCAGCGGCTGGGTGTCCCAATCCAGCTCTGATACAGAACACGTTGCAGCGCCATCAAGTGCCTATTGGGTTCCATCAACATCAACAGCAGCAGCAGCAACAACAGCGGCAGAGACAACAACAACAGCAAGTAGAAGCAGCAGCCGCAGCACTCATTGCCGATTACGATCCTGTTCCGCTTCCGGCTTCTAGACAAGGTAGAAACGATGGTGGAGTCCTTCATGTCCCGAGCAATCTCTTTTCCAACGATATTGTGGGACTCAGGTCTCCTGTTGCTGCTGCCAATGTCCCGCCTCCTCATCCTCAGTGGCTCAAAGAACTCAAGGTTGAAGTTTCGGGTCTCTCGTTGGAGCCCATGACTGGAGCCGAAATCATAGATCGGATCGAAAGCAAAACTTCTGATGTCATCAAACGCTTCCTTCCGTGCGTCGATTTCCTCGTCATGTGCCAACAGGATTTGCGCAAGGGGCTCATTGTCGCCACACAAAAGCGATTAATTCGGAGAGCCTATCGAGATGCCATGACCCCCAAACGATTTCATCAACAGTTCATTGAACCCCTAGCAGATAGATTCTTGAAACAGAATCAACGCATCATGGACGCCAATCACCTCATGGAAGCCTACCAAGAAGTCAGAAAGTTATCCAGTCAAGCCAGTGCTGTAGAACGGCAAGGCTCGGAAGTTATGAAGAACACCTTTTTGGGAGGAATGAAAGATGGAGAATCCTGGGGACTGCGCAAATGGCTTTCCAAACACGGAGGCGCTCTGTCTATATGTACAGATTTAGAACTCATCCTGAGTGCCTGTCAAAAACTCAACAAGGAATTAGACTCGACAAAGAAACTCGCAGCTCTCATGCGACCCATGGCCAAACGAGCGCACGATCGATTGAAAAATGATGTTCCTCAATCCTATCAAGAAATTAGCACGGCTCACCCCTACCTCCCCTTTTTCCATCGCCTCGAGGCGGCGTGCCGGAGCATGTCCAATTTTGACCCAGAAGACGACGATGTCATTTGTCTCGACGACTCGGATGACGACGATGATCCCGTGGTACACGTCAAGAGCACACCGGTCAAGCCCAAAGCCAAAGACAGCAAACCTGCCGCAAGAAAGAGACCGCCCAATGGGTGCAACTCGGACGATCGTTCTTTGAAGCGACAGCGGACCGTTGACCCACCGGCACCGCGAAAAGTGGAACCGGTCGCACGGTATGCTGGCAAGCCTTCCGACTCGGAAAATGATGACGGTAGCGAGGACTCGGACAGTGATATCGAATTTGTGGGGGTCAAGAATCCTGCGGGGAAGTCGGCTCCAGACGACGACGACGAGGAAGAGGACGAAGACAATGTGAGCAACGCAAGCGATCCCGCCTTTGTCAATGATTTGATGAAGTTTGACTTTGAAGCCGCACTGGGTGCCCAAACGGGCTGTTCCGACACGGAAGATAATTTTGACATTGGAGCGATTCTCGGTGGTGACGAACTATCGCAAAAGGGTGGCCGATCTAGAAACCATTCGCCTGTACCGGCTGCTCGAAAACCAGCACCACCGGCGACAAGAACAAGTTCACCCGTCGACGCTATGAAGCTTGCCGCCGACATTGATTCTCTGGCCGATGTCTTTGAGATTGGTCAACATGCCAGCATTCGACCGGCTAATGCGCCAGTCCAACAGGGTTCATTTTGGGATGCCGAGCAATATGGTACGGCGCTGCGAGTTTTGGCTCAGATTCTGCGTAAGCCCGAGGCGGTTCAGTTCATGGACCCTGTCGAACAAGCCCACCCAGATCTTCAACCACCATACACTTCTGTCGTCAAAAATCCGTTGTGTTTCCGTGATATTGTTGCCAGTCTCATCCCAGACAATTTCAACAATTTGGAATTTAATTCGGGGCGAGACGGAATCCTTCCAGCCGAAGGCCTGTCCTTTTGGAATCTGTGGTGCGGTCAAGACTTGTTGCAGGCGATCGATCTGGTGTTCTTGAATGCCTTGGCGTATGGAAAGATCAGTTCGGACGGAAGGACGCCCCCTCGTTCCGATACGAATCGGCTGCGCAAGGTTCTCTGGAATGGTATCAACGACGCCATTACAGCGCGAGTCGGCACCAGCAAGGAATTGATCAAGCAGCATGCGCCAACAAGACGCGGAGAGACGAGTGGGTTTGTCATTCACAAGACACGAAATCGATGAGACGACTGAGTCACTCGGGGTTGAGCGGTCCTCTCTACATCTGTCGGTGGAACGTTCTACAAGTACGGTACTTTTTGACGAAATTTGTTGGTACTTTTTGCCAATGCATCATGAGACGAAGGCTGCTTGCTTCTTCTGATCCGAACTCCTACTTGGACGGTTGGGATGGTCCATTGACTTGGGATTGCTGAGAAGTCTAGCCAGATGGTGACCAATCAAGGGGACGTCTACAAAGATGTAGCGCCAGTGCAACATGGAAAGGTTTTGGCTGGTACCTCGTCGAGTGGACCGTCCCTGGTCTGGATCTTAGGTTCTCTGTGGTTGGCTGGTGGTACTCGCTTGCATCGTCATCTCAGCAAGCTGTAGTTTGCTTCGCACGAGCTAACACCCCGACTATAAATCGTCGTCTTATTACGTGCTTGTTAGATACGGCATCTCATCTCTTATTAGCTAGCTAGCATAGTTCCAATGGAATAAATATCTTCCGGCCGTGCTCTAGCTAGAGCTCTAAGAGTAGTACACCGTACATGTAGACGTACTTGTCTGGCTAGCGCTAGCCATAAAAGCATTTTTGACTTTTTTGCTTTTGGAAAAATTGCCAAAACGCCAGGCTTGCGTCAGAAGCTTCGCCCTGTGCCGGATCGCATCGCTCGCTAACCGAAAAAGAGCTAAAAGAGCACCTCGATCAACAAGCAACCTCATTCATCGTCGGTTCCAGGATTCGGTCGCATCGCATCCACCACCCACCGACGGATGCATGCATGAGGAAAGGTCTGTTGGAGTGTTGCTTCGGGTGTTGTTCTCGTTGTAGATTTGGCTGGGCCTGGTTTGTGTCTTCTTCAAGAAGAAGGGCGCCAGTGAGTACGGAAAAAAGTATGGGACAGAGGTGTTCCAAGAAAGATTTGGACGATTTCGAAGAAGACGACGACGAAGAAAACGCCATGTTCTCGGAAGAAGACGATGAGTTTGACAGCCAGCATCCTCCTCGCAGTGATGGAGCCGAAAGCGACACGGCTGGTGGTCGTCGCACAACAACAACTACTGATACTTCTGACTTTTCCAACCAGTTTCGACGCAAAGACAACCGTGCTCGGACCTTATCGGCCGATGCCAAGAAGCGACGAGCTTCCAACTACAATGACGTTCACATCCAAGTAAGCGAACAGCTCAAGCAATTTGAAGATAACAATGCACAAGTGGCCTTGAACCGCGACTACCGACCCATGGGGGTGGTTGGATTGCAGAACCTGGGGAACACTTGCTTCTTGAATAGCAGCATTCAGTGTCTGAGCGCTACCATTCCCCTGACAGATTACTTCTTAGGGTATGTCAGTATCTGTTTGTGTATCCATCATGTGATGAGTGTTTAGATTGGTTTGTACCAGGTATTGGTCTCCCTGAAAGACTGTCACTCATATTTGTCTCTCTTCCTTCTCTTGCCTCTTATTGATTGTTTTCTACTTTTTGTTGGTTGTCTATCTAGATATGACTACAAATCAGAAATCAACACGAAGAACTTCTTGGGGACTGGAGGGAAGCTAGCTACGGCCTACGCACAATTACTCAAAGAAATGTGGCTAAGCAACAAAACCGTCGTCAGACCTGTTCAATTCAAAAAACAACTCAGTAAATTCGCTCCCCAATTCAGTGGAACCTACCAGCACGATGCACAGGAATTATTGTCATTTTTGCTAGATGGCATCCACGAGGATCTCAACAGAGTCAAAGACAAACCTTACGTCGAAGATCGAGATTGCGACGGAAAAAATGACGAAGCCGATGCCATTGAGGCATGGAAGAACTACCTACGACGCAACAAGAGTCTCATTGTCGATCTCTTCCAAGGACAGCTACGCAATACATGTCGATGTAATGTCTGCGGACATACGAACATTCGATTTGAACCATTCATGTACTTATCACTACCAATATCAGATTCTTGTCGCAACCTGCAGGATTGTCTCGATTTGTACATTAGTACGGATGAACTGCGCGGGGAGAATCGGTGGTACTGTGAAAAATGCAAAAAGCACCGCGATGGAACCAAAAAGATTGATCTATGGATCGTTCCACCCATTCTGATTGTCCACTTGAAACGATTCAAATACAATGAGTACGGTCAAGTGGGATCCAAAAACAACGCCCACATAAAATTCCCCATGGAAGGTTGGGACCTGTCGGATGCCGTTAAATCAAAAGGCAGTGTCAAACCTGTCTACGACTTGTACGCAGTGTCCAATCACATTGGGGGCCTGCGGTCCGGCCACTACACTGCCTATTCCATGACGCGGTTCGATGAACAATGGGTCGAGTTCAACGACAGCAATCCACGACCAATTACCCCCGACGTTGTCACCCGAAACGCATCGGCCGCTTACGTGCTCTTTTACAATCGATCCGACAAGGAGGAATCCGTCCATGATAATGAAAGCGATGCGCCGACGAGTGCCCGATATCCCATGGTGCGACGACAAAGTGTCACCCGACCGGATCTGTGGCCTCATACCCAGGTCGAAGACAGCAAATTCCGAGATTACCGAAGACGGTCGAATGCCATGAATGGTTCCATGCGTAGTCTGGGCGAGTCGTTTCACTCACCCCCAACGTCTCCCATGCCATCATCCGGTCGACGATCCGCCAACATTATTGCCAATACTGTTGTGGCGCCCATGATTTCGCCAAAGACCAGTTCCAGATCCACGACACCGGATCCAGAGTCGTCTTCCAGTGTGCGGAAGCGGACGACGCGAACTGCAAAGAAGAGTTCTAACCGCCGTCGGGGAGACCGGTAGAGACAAAAAAGATGGGTATATATTTTGATTTTGGTGAGCCTGGAAGGTACTAGCTAGAGCTTCTTTTTTTAAAAGAAACGAGACTTGGTGGAACTGGGGCGGTGGATTGTGTACGGAGCAGATACGGCAGCTACTGAAAAGTTGAGCGGCCGCCCCCCACAGACTTGCAAACGGAAAGAGTCCAGTCGATTGCTGACAGCATGCAGTACGTAGCTAGATACCGTACGGTAGTTGTTCGCCTTCACAAAAAGTTTTGATGGTACCAGATAGGTTTGCTTTTGGTCTCTAGCGGCTAGAGTCGTCTAGCTGGGTAGAAAGGAATTGCTGCTGTATGGTCTTACCTGAAGTCGAGTACAAGCTTGCTATGCATATGGCAGTGGAGAGCCTTCTAGCTAGTAGGGCTAGCTCTAGCCTACCGGTACCGGTACTACGTGTAGAACTAGCTACCGGTAGAGCCTTTGGAGGAGCCATGAAAGCCATGCGTACTACAGCTGTACCCTACGGTGTATTAGTACTAGTTTTAGTAGTTTGTCCGCTTGGACGTCGGGTGGAAGGCGGAGGATCTGTGAGATTTAAGTGGTTCCTTGCCGGTAGTCACTGTCTAACGAAGGGTCGCTCACGGATTTATTGACATCCTTGAGGGTCATGGTACGGGACACCGGGTCATCCAAACAGTCTCGGGTGCAGAAAACTGACCTGACCACTGCACAACAACACAACACGAAGACAGCGGGATCGGCTGCCAAACTAGCCAGAGGAGGGCTCCAATCAATCCATCAAGGTGGGAACTTCCGCTGGATACGGTGTATCTCATATCGAATTGAACTTTAGAAAGACAAAGAGGCGATCGGAAGAGTCAGTCCGATAGCTACGTCGACGCCGAAGGTTCAGACGATGATGTTGGTAGTTGGTCGGGCTGCAGAAAGTAGTGAAGACCGAGAAAGACTAGAATCCGCCAACATGTTGAGTGACGATGATGAAGACAACAACAACAACAATTATCTAAAACACCACTTGCCAGCTCACAGAGACGGTGGCGATGATACAGACACAGGCGGCATGTCTTCTTCGGACACGGATCGGCAAGAGGCAACTTCCAATAAGCGAAAAGGTGGTGATAAAAGACTCAAGGCCAAGTCACCCTCTCGCTTATCTCCCGACACTGCCAGCAGCAGCAACCGAAAAACCAGGCAGACAACCTCCAAAGTCAGGCCACGAGGTGGAGTCCCTTCGCGAACACGTTCCTTGGCCGATGGAGTCGAGGAGGCTGCCAGCAGTGGCCATCGGAGATCCAGACGAAAGCGGAATTCTCTGGTGCTACCTTCTAGTGGTACAGACGCAACAACAAGCGCACTGGGAGACGACGATGATTATACCGTTGCTACGGAGATGCCATCTACTACCGGTAAATCAAGATCGTCCAGAGCCAACCGAACCGGCAGCAGCAGTAGTGGCCATAAGAGAGTGAACTCGGCGAGCACGGGAAGGCGGAGACGATCAGGAGCTCGAGACGTTATAGACGACAATAGTCACTTATCCGGCTCCGAAACACCCCCAGCACCTCCCGATGGCACCGGTAATGTCAGAAGAAAACGCTCCGTGACATCCTCCTCCGAAGCAAGACATCGCTCCAGATCTCACTCACGATCTCGATCTCGGTCCGCGAGGAAGGCTATCACAGGTGACAGACTTCTTGGGTCAGATGATCACGACCATCCAGACGACAATAGTCACTTGTCCAGTATGGAAAGTCTACCCCCTCCTCCCGACAGTAGTGTTGGAGGTGGTGGTAGTTCCAGAAAAAAACGAACAGCCACACATAATACTCGCCCCAGGTCTAAATCACGGTCTCGGTCTGCGAGGAGAACCACGAGAGCCGCAGAGGAGGAACATGTAAGGTCTCAATCACGATCACGGTCTGCTCGAAGAACCACCAGAGCTGTCGAGACTGCTGACGAGGGAAAGAAGGCGGCTGACGTAGCACCTCCGAAAAGCAAACAAGCAAACAACAAGGATACTACTACTACGTTTACTCCTAAAGAGTCCACGCTGGATTCTGCAAAGAAAGAGGACGACTCGGACAGCAGCAGCAGCGATGATGATGGACCCCAGCTGTCTCTTCGATCGTCTGTCAAAGTCGCGTCGGCACTTGTCAAATTTCGAAAAGTCTTGGCAATGTCCAAGGAGGCATCGGCTTCGGCGGACAAATACAGAGAGGATCGGGAAAAGGAAGCTCAGGATATTGGGATTGATAATTTGGGAAACGTTGCCACAACAACAACTACTACTACTACTAGTATTGCGCACAAGGAAAATGTAAAGAACGGGGGCATTGCAGCAGGAGAAAGCGACAAGCCAGGGCTCAGCGGTAGTAGTCATCACAAGAAGACAGATCGAGGCAGTGGTCATCCAAGACCCGATGGTGGTCGCGATGCTGGGCGACAAATGAGAGTCGCGAGAAGTGCTGGTCGAGCCCGTAGTACCAACCATCAAACTACTAGCAGCGGCAGTGGTGGGAAAGAGACACGCAAAGGCAGCCATCAAGACGACCGTGAATCCAGCAATCGAAAAAGTAGGTCTGTCGAATCTAGTACGAGAATTCGGAGAATGAAGGATTCATCAGAGAAGATGAAGGATAACTCTGCCAGAATGAAGGACTCTTCGGGGCGGATGAGGGATTCGTCGGGGCGCATGTCCGATACCTCGGGCAAAATGAAGGACTCTTCACATTCCACTGGTACCACCAAAGGCCGGACACGGCTCAAAGATTCCTCCGATTCGAAAAGCCGGCGAAAGGTACCAGCAGCGTCGACCACCACTCCAGCTCTTGAAAGTATGGACGCAGACACATTCCTGAAGGAGGCACTGAATAACGTGGGAAAGAGGCTGTCGCGGCCTTCATTAACTTCCATGAAAAAAGATGTTCCACCCAAAGCAGACGATGAGAAGGTGGCAACGACAGCAACAATAACAACAACAGCAGCGACGACGACGGCAAAGCCTGCTGTCAAGGACTCGGACCGAATGAAGTCTTCTGCCAAAGTCAGTACAGCCGTCCTGAAATTCCAGCAGGCTCTGGCACTTTCAAAGAGCGCCACAAAGGCCGCCAAGACGCAACAAGACACTCAAAACAAACTGCTTGGGGAAGTCCACAAGGATAAAACAAAACCGGACGACTTCGTAAAACGAGCGTCATTGCTCAAGGCAACAGAAGCCAAAAGTGCCCCAACGGGAAGCTCCAACAGCAATGCCGTCGCAGTATCTCCTGTGTCGACGGTGGATGTAGTGGATCCTACCGCGGATGGAGCAAACGAAAGTCCCAAGGTACCCAGCGATCTCGATGGCGACTCGGACATTGATAGCGAAATTGAGATTGATGATGTCGACGAAGACGATGATCCTGTGAGCGACGTCGAAACAGATAGCGAGGATGAAGACGACAACAACAAGACTCCTACACCTGTGGTTGCTCCGATGATACCACTTGTTTCGGTCACAGACGACACCAGCGATGACAGCGACGTTGATGAGCATAGTGACGTCGAACTAGACAGCGACGACGATCTCGACAGTGATGATGAGTTTGCAACGGGTGACACTGCCAGAGCTACTACCAATGTTGGCTCCGATAACGGCAGCGAAAGTGGCAAAGACGATGCGATGGACAGCGATGACGATATTGACAGCGACAATGATGCCAAAAGTCCGAAACCAGAAACGAACTTGCCTGTCTCGCAAGAAGCAGTCGTAACACCACTGCAAAGTTCTGTTGTCGCGGCTACAATATCTGCACTGGAAAAGGAAAGCGAAGCTGACGAAGCCAGTGACGCAGCAGGATCCGAGGACAGACGAATGGAAGAAATATCCCATCGCTTGCACTTGGTTCGATCCATGTCTTGCAACAACGCTGACTCCCTGAATGGGTTTCAGGAGAAATCTCTATCGGACCTGCAATCGATCACAGGGAGGTCAGCCGGGCCAAATCTAGGCATACCCGGACTCAGCCCGGGAAGCAAGGCTTCCCTAGGGACAGAAGAAGACTCACAGGGAATTTCTTATTTACCGATGGCAATGAAAAAACCTAAATCGGACCCTTTTGCCGATCTAAAAGGCGACAGTAGCCACGATACGGAGGATAGCGGTTCGGATATGGAGATTGTATCCACCAGCGATTCTGAAGCCAACCGACCGTCCAGAAAGAGTCTCACGAGGAAGCATTCCACTAGACGTCGCTCTGCGAGTCGAAGTAGGTCAAATGCTGATTCAGTTGACTCTGGTCGGAAATCGCGTGGAGATGAGAAATCCAGGTCCAGAACAAGAAGCACAAGTCGCGCTAGGAGAGCGCCGTCGAGATCACGGTCTTCCACAATGGCGAGGCCATCGGACGCTGAAGGAGGAGGGTCGCACCGGGAGCGAAGGTCCAAACCACAAATATCGTCCTCTAGCGCTGACAAAACCAGACCTACAGATCGAACCAAAACGAAAGAGAAAGCCTCCGGTCGGTCCTCTTCAGCATCTCGAAGCCGAACGCTCGCGGGTCTTTCAACCTTGACAACTACCCCTTCAAACAGTAAGCCGAGCAGTGGAGAAGGTTCGTCTAGAGAAGAGGGCAGAAAGGGTTCCTCTCGTCGCCGAATGCCAAGCCGAGCGAAGTCCCACGATGTGGATTTACGCAAGCCATCCCGCTCTGGAACTAGCAGGAGTGGCGACAGAGAAGTGCGAGAGCGGAGAAGCCGCAAGCCTGCCGGCATTGAAGCATCGCATAGTGCGGAAGATTGAGCGTTTGTGCGGAAAGAACTGCAAGACAAACACCCAGAACTGTTGACTGCACCTCGACCCTATTTTCAAAAGAACCATTCATTTGAAAAGTCCCAGCTGAGCAACTATACACAAACTAGCTAGTATGATCCACCCGACTCTTGGGAATCTCACGATGATGTGGCTACTCGTACCAGTTGCTGAGTTGATGGCCCAACTCCACGTAGCAGAAAATCGAGGCCATGGATTGCAGACACAGAACGAAGACGATAAGTATTTGCCACGTTTTTTTAGTCTTCATCCTACCGAATTTCCTCGTTCCGCAAAGGTTTGAATCTCCACTGGCCACTGATACTAGAACTAGGAAAGTGCGGGAAGTTTTCCTCCCACGTGCGAGAGCCCACGATCAAGATTACGGGCCAGTGGACCACCCTCACAACGCTGGATGGCAAGCTTCTTGTTGCGGTGGTGGGCAGGACAAAGCTACCGCAGCCTGCCATGGTGGTGACAAGAAGACAACCCATTTCACCCCTCTTAGCCGGCCCCACACAACAAAATTAACCTGTTTCACTAAGTGTTGGCCTCTTGAAGCATCCCAAACCACCAGAGTGATTTTGGCTGCTGCGTTTCTTCTTCCGGTCAAGGATGGGATCAGCAAACCGAGGTGAACTAGCTAGAAAAGCAGGGATGGGCAGTACGGTACCGATACCTGTGCCATCCGTAGGGTACCGGTTTCGAACTGCTAGCTAGTACTGTACATATTTTGTTGCCGAGTCTAACAATCCAAATCCTCCTTTTCTCCTGTTGAGAAGGCAGCTGGTTCGTTTCGCTCTGCTTCCGTTGCAGAGATCGGAGGACAGCCCCCAGCAAGATTCTACTAGTAAAGTTTTAATTTCAAGAACCCACAGCCAGTTTGGTACCGGTACCGGTGTGGTTGTACCGAACCGTACATCTGATCTCTTCAGCTAGAGTCTAGACTCAACATGATGGATACAAGTGAGGTTATTATGATCCAAAAGCAAATCCTCTGCTGGTTTGGGCGGAAGATAAAGGATATCATTCTGAAAAGATCTCGGAACGCAAGATCTTTCGTTTGGATCATTGCTAAAAATCTGGCTCAAAAGATACCGGTACGGTGCAGCCGATTACACAGCCTCATTTTTTCGTTTTTGGGCAAGATGCGATTTGTTGCTCGTGGAGTTCAGTTGTTTCTCGTTTTGTTGCTTTCTGGTGCCGCTACTGCCGAAGAGTGCAGCTTGGCTTCTGAGCTGTCAACACCTCTGACATTTGATTTGGTTGGGTTGTCCGGTGTTGCTTTTGTTGGAGTAAGTTGGTCCAGCTTGACTCAATCCAGTCGCATTGACATCGCCTTCCCTCTTTCTGCTCAAAGTAACTCTTCTGTTTGCGTTTCAGGTAACCCCCAAAATCACCCGTGTGGCCGGAGAGCCCATGATCAAGATTACTGGATACAGCATGGCCGAAGAACCTACCCTTGCAGTGCTGGATGGAAAGCTTGTTGTTGCCACATCCGGATGTGCTGATGATATTGTGGCGGTTGGACGAGCTGAAGCACCTGATGACGATGGGGGGTTCCCGGAGGAAGATTCAGAAGATGCCATCGTCGGAAGAAGCGGAGGTGAAAACTCAAAAAACCAAAATGACCATTTTGTCCATGGAGACGCCGCCAACGTTGCCACGTTTGTTTCCAAGGCCCAAACCGCAAAGAGGGCGACCCATTCGAATTGGTTGACACTCACTTCTTTGATGCTTGGCATATCATCCAGTTCCTCTACGGCTGCTGCTGTTGGTTGGTCCATCTTAGGTACTTTGGCATTGGCACCTTCAGTGGCCAAAGCTCAGCTCACTTGTGACCACGGTGAGTTTCAAAGCAGTCTTGCGATTCAGATTGCGTCATGTCATCCCTGGCAATTTGGAACTTTCTACGTGTCGTCGGCTCACCGCTTTGTTCTACGTCTCATCATGCAGTTGTGGAGGTTGAGATTCATGGTCCACCAGTGCCAGTCCCATCTCAAGGAGCACAGTACTTTGAGTACGATATCAAATGGAACGACTATGATGGCACCAATGGATCTTTGCACTTTGAACCAGAACCGACGTGGGGTGAAGATGTTGAAGCCATTCGAGCTTTTCGTGATACAGAATCAGGCGGCGTGTACAACTACCGGAACAAGGTACTCATGGGGATGGCACAAACGCGCATTCTCAATGACCCATCCAATGTGACCGCCAAGGATGATGTCGAATTCGACATTCCCTTGGATGTTGTCCGTCCCGAAAGCGATGAGGAAATCCTGATGATGTCAGTCCTGGAGATGCAAGGTCTCTTACGATCCGGTCAAATCACTTCAGTGGAGCTGACCAATATTTCGCTTAGCTTGCTTGACAAGTACGATCCCGAATACAACATGTAAGAAGTGTCATTGACTGATTTGGCAATGCAAATAGCTGAGTTGGCCGATGAAAAGTTTGCTGCCGGCGAATACATATCCGCCATTCAAGGCGTCCCCTTTGCCATCAAGGTACGTACTTGTGCTGTCCATGCGTCCTATGAATATGTGACTCATTTTCCCTCTCTCTGACACAAACCGTTTGTCCCTGTTCTTTCACACGACTTCAAACCACAGGACACATACGATGTAGCTGGCTATGCAACTGCCTACGGCTCGTGGGAGTTCCTCGACAACGTTGTCCAAACGGAGTCCCCGCTGGTAACCTACGCAATCGAAGCGGGGGCCGTCCCACTCTTCAAGTCAAGTGTGCCTCAGCTCACATGGGGGTATTCAAACCACAAGGGGGCTGTCTATTCCTGTCTTAACGGAGGGTTTGCTGCCGGTGCAGGTGGGTCAGGAGGATCCTCCATCGGTTCTGGTGCGGCAGTTTGTCTTGGCGTTGTCCCAGTGGCCATCTGTGAGCAAACCGGCTCCTCCTGTCAGGCACCCGCCATTGCCAATGGCATCAGTACTGTCATACCCGCTCTTGGTACCTTTTCACGTGAGAACAATGGTTTGTACTCCATGGAAACGGACCGCCCTGGTCTCCTGTGTCGCGACGTGTTATCATGTGCTGTCTTTTACAATTACATGCGTGGGGAATCTGAGGGAGATCCACAAAGTCGGAATGTCCCGTTTGAAGATCCCAGCAAGGTGGATATCTCCGGATGGTCTATTGGATTCTCCGACAACTCGGATACCCAAGGATGGCCAGAGGCGTGGGACACGCCGTTCATGGGCGAACGAAATGATGTTGTGGAGGCACTCCAAGACCTTGGTGCCGATGTGATAGTTGTCGATGACTTGGCCGACTTGATGATGGATCCTCCACAATTGCTCAAAGATTACGAAGATTCTGGAGTTGGATCCAAATGGTTTGCGTGGTTTGGTACGTTTGTCATTTGCTTGAGGGTTCTGCGCAAGGACCCAAACTCTCCCTCAACTCAAAAGACGCCCTTTGTCTCTTCTCTCAAGATTGGTACTGGCTGAATGTTGAAGGCTTCTTCGAGTCCATCTTTTGGTATGGTGGAGGAATCGGCACAAACGCCACTTCGTATGGCCCCGTATTTGAAGGACAGGTAAGTCGGAGAGTTGCAGCGTTGGCACACCATCACAAACCTCGTTGCCTGACCTACTACGGGTGTCTCACAATTGGTGCTTTGCTGATTTCCAGAACTTCAATTTTGACAATGGACACCATCGTCAACACATCGGAGCCTCGGCCTATGCCTACCTGGACGATCTCTGGCTGTTTGGGTATGTATCAGAGAAAGCAATGTACCCCATGCTTCAGTCCTTGCCAGATGTAGTGGTTCACTTTGCGCAGTCAGAGCTCAATGGTGCCGTCAACCATGGCATGATCAAGCGAGCGGGGATTAACACAGGTAAGCACAGAAAAGAGCAAGCTTTGTGACAGTGCCATGGGTACCATTGTCAAACTCAATCTGTCAATCATGTCACTGCGGCAGTGCACATCCCACAGTTTTATTGGAACACAACAGATGAGACCTTTGTGGACTGGGCAGGCTCTCGTCCCATTGACTATTACCAGGAGACTACGGTAAGCGCTGCCATGATCACATGCGAGTCCAAGAAGTATGAACCCGTCAAGGCGTTTGCAGTTTGCTACCAGCTTCAGCAAGCTCTTGTCCCGGGTGGCAAGTTGATCTCGCCCTACATTGACATAATCCATGAGGCATTGAAATCGGGGGAACACGATCTTGATTGCCCATACGATTGGAGCGCGATCGACCCGGACTTTCTGGAAAAGTACCCCCCAGACATTCGTGAGCTCGTGACGAGCAAGATGGGTAACCGCGGAACCATTGCCACTTGTGGAGCTGGAACGGACGGTGGGTGTTCCGGTGGAACTTGCTCCGACAAACGCTTCAAGGACGCCATTACATTCCTCGGCAAATCTCCCGCAGGTATCCCTTTCTACTCGTTCCGTTACAAGAAGGGAATTCAGGATGGACCTGATCCGTCCAAGACGTTCATTGGTGCAATGGCTCAAGATTTGGTGATGTTGGCTCCCAAGGCTGTCTGTCGCCATGCACGCGACGGCATGCTGCGTGTCGACTACAGCAAGATTGATGTGAACTTTGTCGAGATCGAGTAGAAATCGGGCGTATTCTGCGTTGTGGGATCTTCCATGCCAGACCATCAGTATCGGTGGGTGTTTTGTTTTCCAGAGCCAGAGATACTTGTCATTAATTTTCTTCATTAAAAATTCAGCATCAAACTGTTTACACGTGAAGTCTGGTACCTGGTAGCCATTCATTTGTCCGCGCTTTTATTTTTGAGGGCGTCTGTTTGTTTGACTTTGATCAGAAGGATGTGTGTGTCGAGACGTCGCTCGTCTGATCGTTGGCGCTCTTGGAACTGTTGCCCCCAGTGGAGTCTTGAGCCATCGACATCACCAACTCACGCCAATACGGTACGCTACAACTATGAAAACACGGAAAAAGGCCTCCAGAGGTGTGGTCTCAAGTAGCCTGCTGTCAGCCAAAAATTCAGTTGGGCTTGTTGGAAGATTGAATTCCCGCACCTGACATGTGTCCTCCAACAAGGATGCTCTGGATTGTGCCGCCACGAATTGTAACCAGGATCTTGATAAGTTGCTGCCCTGAGATGAGAGGAGGGATCTTCAGAGTGGAGTGCAGTCCTCCGTCCTCCGCAAGGTCCTGAAATGGGACTAGTTTCACGCTTTTGGGTTAGTTTCACGCTTTTTGTTAGTTTCACCGAAAATGGACCACCGTTTCCTTGAAACTAACCCAAAAGCGTGAAACTAACCAAAAAGCGTAAACCTAAACCAGAAAGCGTGAAACTAACCCAAAACGCGTGAAACTAACCAAAAAGCGTGAAACTAGTACAGTATGTGTCATAGTAAATCAATGTAAACACGACTAAAAGCGTGAAACTAACTCAAAAGCGTGAAACTAACCCAAAAGCGTGAAACTAAACCAAAAAGCGTGAAACTAACCAAAAAAGCGTGAAACTAACCAAAAAGGGTGAAACTAACAAAAAGCGTGAAACTAACCCAAAAGTGTGAAACTAACAAAAAGCGTGAAACTATCGTTTGAGTCCCGTTTCGGGACCTTGCCGTCTACTTGCTTGCAACGGTACTCGTGTTCTAAAGTACATTCGTACCGTTCGCACGCTACCTTCCCATGATCCTGAGTCTATGTGCGTCATTTGAATGGATGTAGATTTTGTGCTGATGTCGGATCTTTTGTGCTCTTTGGACAACGCAAAACAAGCAAACAAGCTTAGTTCCGCTGTAGTGCCGTTACCCGTGCAACGGAGCCACAATCCAAACATTTGACGATGGAAGACCTGGAAAAGACACTGAAGAGTCTCCCTGAACTACTGCGACAGCGAGAAGAAGCGCTAGCGGAAAGGGAGCGAGAGGTGAAGAAGCTACAACAGGATTTGGAGAAAGAGCACCCAAATCTTGGGAAGCCTTCGGACGTCTTGCGGCTGAACGTTGGAGGAAGGAGGTGAGTTCGGGTCTGTCTGCCTTATTTGCAGGTTCCTTCAATCTGATTCTTCACTATGATTTTCCTTTTTTGGAAGGATCGATGTCCTTCGCAGGACACTGATTCAAGTGGAGGGGTCCATGTTGGAGTCCAGATTTAGTGGCCGATGGGACGACGGCTTGGACAAGGATGTTGATGGAATTTTCTTTATTGACCAGCCCCCGGATCTCTTTCTGATGCTTGTTGATTTTCTCCGTGCCAAGCAGACTGAAACTCCGCTGGCAAAGTTAACCAAACCGCCCCAGGTCAACTGCGGAAAAGACGAAGAGGATTTCAAACGAATTGTGGAATACTACGGTGTCACGTTGGCCGTGTATCCCATCGGCTTGTATCGCTTGGAGGAGAAAACCACCCCAACCAGCCCAGAATGGGGACTTTGTGGTCAAGGTGAATGCAACATCGAAGCGCAAGAATGGACTACGTTTGCTCTGAGACCTCTGGAAGATTGCCACGTACGGTATATCGAGTCCTACGAAGTGACAATCGAACCAAGTTCAAATGCTCAGGTCGGCTGGATCAGTTCCTCCGATCAGAATATGCCCCAGTACCGGAGTTCGGAATCCGGACGTGGCGTTGGGTATGGCTCTCGCAGCATGGCACTAGATTGCGTCAAGGCCTGTGTTGCAGTTGGAGGCGCCACGCATAATCTGTCTTCCAGTGTCGCACTGGGTACCGATGGCACATGCACATGCACAATTCGTTCGGAAAACCATGGCAACCATTGGTATATTGATGGTCGCCTAGTGGCATCCACAAGTAAGAAGGGGGGCAACGTCTCCGAGTTCACGTTGAACGATGGTAATGAGTGGATTCCGGCTCTATCAATCAAAGGCAACTGCAGGATTTCCAAGATTGAGCTACAATTGTAGCCATAATCTTTTCCCAACGAATGGGAAACACCGTTACTATCACTACTGACAGCACCATTGATGACACACCATTCCAGACACCATTTCAAGCAGTCGGTCGCTTCCTCATTCTTAATCTACTAGTAGAGGAAGAATGTCGTCATTTCATGCTGCTGTTTGGTTGTTGTCTTCCACCGTGTAGTTCTGCATAGCATGGCATGAACAAAAGTCACATCCACAGAGGACAGTACTGTTACAGTCAAAGGCCACACCCTGCCTAGTAACTACATCCCAATCCCCCAAAGAACACACTTCTGGCGGCACAACCCCCGAGAATTGGTTGCCTCCCAAAGTCAACCGTTGCAAAGCTGATACATTGTTTCCCACTGCCAATGTAGCAAATGCCTCTGGGAATGTGCCCCAAAAACAGTTGTTGTGAATTTCCAAGTATTGCAAACCTGCAAGCAATCCAAGGTTAGAAGGAATGGTGCCTGAGATGCTGTTGTCATCAACCGCTAGCTTGAAAAGGCCTGTCAACTGTCCCAGTTCTGGTGGAAAGGTACCAGTGAACCTATTTCCAGATAGTTCCAGAATCTGCAGATTGGGTAGAACCGATAGTTCTAATGGCAAGGCACCAGAGAGTCCAGGGTTGTTGAAAACGGTGTTTAACCGCGTTAAGCTGGTGGCCAATCCAATTTCTGAGGGCAGAGGCCCTGAAACCTGTGTGTAGGCAAGCCAAAGACCTCGCAGGGATTCCATCATGCCAGTCTCAGTTGGAATTGTGCCATTCAAGGGGTTGGATTCAAAATCAAGGGTTCTCAGGTCTGTCATCAATCCCAGCTGAGAAGGCAGGGTCCCTGTCAGCTGGTTCCCCCAAAATTCAATTGCGGAAAGTTTTGTCATTTGCCAGAGGTCTGTTGTGTTGCGGTTGATAACGAAACCACTTGAGCCAGGTATGGATGACCAAATTGGAAAGAGAATGCATCAAAACTGAGCTCACCTTCTGGGATTGTCCCAGTGAAACTATTGTAATTGAATAGGATGAGACGCAAACTTGGCATTTGATAAATCTCTTTGTGCATCAAATCGTCAAACGTTCCATTGAGTTCATTTCCTGGGAGGCCAACTAATTTCAAGCTGCTCAAAAGTGTCAGTTCTGGCGGGAGTTTTGGCTTATTGGTAGAGTTTCCAAGCTGTAACCGAGAAAGAAGCAGGGCTTCAATTTCACCCTTATCATTGCAAGGACCAGAGACATTATAAAGACGACGAATCGAAGCCTTGTCTTCATTCGAATATGGCTTGTACGCGCCATCTGCAAAGACTCCATCAAGATTCGTGTACCACATACACTCCTCTTTGAAATCATCCAGCCATCTATCACGAATAAAATGGGGCCAGTTCTCGTTGCCCCCAAAGGAAAAGAAGAATGCCGCTAGTGCAAACAGTTGCTTCTTTCTCCATTGGGGAAGGTTGGTCTTGTTCTGGTGACTGTCCAGCCATTGCAAGGCGTACCACTGAGGGGATGAACTGCTTTGGAGGCTCTGCAATGTGTAATTTGGTAAATCCAGTTCCATTTTTAGTTCATCCCAAGAGCTCATTGTGGGGCCAGGGGTTGGCAATGCTGTCAGGGTTGAGATTGGACTTTTTGTTTGTACTGCGGCCTTCTCTGTGCCTCCAGCGTTACCCTTGACCACCGCTAGGATTGTGATAGCTACTGAAATGCCAGTCAAGATAAGAGCACCCACGACAAAAGCTCGTATAAATGCAGCTCGTCTGTGCCCTTTCTGTCGTCTTTCGTTTCCATCTAGATCGAATTGTTGTGCCTGAGGCAATCCTTCCTCCTGAACTGGATCGGCTTCCACAAGGCCATTATGATTGGCTGGCAATGATGATCCAATTGAGACACTAGGCAACGATATGGTCCCAATTTCTTCTTCTTGAGTGACAATTAGACCTTCGTCTTCCGTTGATGACATGGGGGCACGGACAGAAAAGCGATGCGGATCACTCAAGACTGTAAGACCACCTTTACGTTCCACTCGACGGACTTCTGTTCCTGGTGCCGATTTATAGGCACCAGGCTGTGAAACTATCGGCGGTCGTTGTAGTCCATGGGAAGTTGCTGCTTCATCAGTGTTTATTCCAATGGCAACTTCGGCAGCATGCATCTCGTTTATTTCCCAGGTGTTCTGGTCATCATCCTCCTTGTGGCCTTCTTCTACTTTTTCCTCTTCGACATTTCCAGTCGTAGAACTAGTCGCCACAGCAACGTTACTAGGTCCAGCCAAATGAATCTCCTGCTGCTGTTCGGTGTTCGTCCTCTCGGCGAGGTATCGGTTTCGAAATCTTGACTCCTCGGCGGCAACCTTTCTGATGTACTCGGGATCTTGACTCTGCCGAACAGATTCCAGTACAACATTATCACCATCGACGCTATCGGATTCTTCTCGAGCCTCCTCCACCCTCATGGTGGAAGTCTAATATGCACACAGAAGACAGATGATGATAAGGCGAAACCGCTTCACACCATTGAGGCTTGAGTGGACGTCGGACGTCACGACGTCTCAGGAGTCACGAATAACACTTAAGCATTAAAGTGACTCATGCACCTTTCCGGTTTTTCTAATTATTGGATCGTGCCAGTTCATTACCGTACCCGTTTCACGTTTAAAGGACACAGGTTCGGTAAACCGTTTGCACTCACACTTTCAAGGGATTTACATGGTCGAGTCATTGAAATTCGCTCTTTCCCTACCGAGCCGTCGGGTCGAGTTACCCAGCACCTTTTCAGCTACCTTTTCCCACCTCCCCAGAAGGAAGAGAGGAGTGACGAGAGATTTGATTCCCAAATCGAATCCTTAACATCTTTGGTCAAATCCTTTACCATGTTCAACTGGACACACTAGCAAGTCTCCATAGCCAACCAGTACGGGTCCAAAGTACTGTGTCCAACAGAACACGCAACATCAATCCCTATCCTTAACAAGGAAAATGTCCCTTATGTCTTTGGCAAAACCTACACCTTGTTTATCTGGACACACTAGCGAGTCTGCATAGCCAGCCAGTACTGGTACCCATGTGTAGAAACTACTGTGTCCAACAGAACACACAATATTAATCCCTATCCTTAACGTAGCAAGTGTGTCCCTTATGTGATGAAAACAGCTGCAACAAACATACACACATACACACACACATACAGCGATAAAAGTGTGAAAGACCCTCAGTCGGTTGAGGGCAATTGTACCCTCTATGCATAGCTACAGTACCTTGCTGGTGGGGTTCCTTTTTAGTAGTGGATTCTTCGCTAGCTAGAGTGCACGATAGCCATTTGTGTAACCGCTGTTGGGCTACATCCAGCTCTCAGCAGCTGCATGAGCACCCACACAGAAAGCCACAATCAAAATCCAGAAGTGTTGCAGCACAAAGACCAGCTGGCACTTGCCCTGTGAAAGCGTTTCCTGATAGATTCAAAGACAAGGACTGGGAAACATTCACCAGAAAGGCAATTTCTTCCGCGACAGTGCCTGTCATTTCATTCTCCGCCACACTGAAGTCTTCCAACAATGTCAATTGGCCAAATTGGGAGGGCAAGGAACCACTAATGATGTTGTTGTTGAGTAACAGAGTCACCATGTTGGAAAGGTATCCAAACTCAGTTGCTAATGTCCCAGAAAACTGGTTCTCTTGCAGTTGAAGTCGTGTCAGCTTGGTTAGAGCCCCGAGCTCTGCTGGAATTGTCCCTGCAAAGTGGTTCCCAGACATGGATATGACATGAGAGGCTGATAGCCTACCAATCTCAGATGGCATCAGACCATCTAAGGAATTGTTGCGTAGTGCCAAATTGCTCATGGCAAGCAAATTACCAAACTCTGTCGGTAAGGATCCAACTAGCTGGTTGTTGTTCAGGTATAGAAAATACAGCTTTGAAAGTTGCGACAGTTCTACTGGTAGGGTACCGGAGATTTCATTGCAATGGAGATTCAGTCCTTCCAATGAGGAGATCCCTCCCAGTTCAGATGGAATTTGGCCAGTCAGCATGGCTTTGTGAAGAGCAATGTTCTCCAATGCTGTGGCTTTGCCCAATTCAGTGGGAATGGTACCAGAGATGAGATTCCCATCCAGCCAAACAAATTTCAAAACTGGTGGTTGTTGTGAGCCAATTTCAGTTGGCATTGAGCCAGTAAGGAGACTATCACTCAACAGAAGGGTTTCCAACTTTGGCAGTGCAAACACTTCTGATGGCAGGGTGCCAGTCAGGGCAGTAAAGCCCATTGCCAGACCTTCCAACTGATGCAGGTTCCCAATCCATGTGGAGATTGTACCTTCCAATTCATTTTGGTACAGGGCTAGAACATGCAGAGACGTCAGCAAAAAGATCTCATCAGGAAGCTTTCCCACCAGCCCATGGCTGACAAGCCAAAGATGGCGATATATGTTGTCTTCAGAGGAGTTGGTGTGCAAGTTCAGGCAGGGCTCTCCTGGATTAACATTCAGCTCCACACCGGACCTTGTTTTCCATAGATGTGTGTTGCCAATTGTATCCCAGATGCATTCATTCTTTTCATAGGACAACCACTTGGTATTGTTCCACCATTCAGATTCACCTTGAGTGCTAAAGTACAGTGTGGACAATGCAAACCTTTGCAGCAGGCGCCAGCTTGGGTATTCATCTTTCTTTGGATCCTTTTTGATCCAGTCATATGCTTTCGATTGTGGAGAGTTAGGAGAATTGATCAGCTCAAGTGTGCTTTCTGGTAGAAGCTCTAGAATAGTGCCTTCAACTCCAGTGGGTGACAAAGTCGGAGATATCGAAGGCACTGATGTTGGGGCCAATGTTGGGGATGGTGTCTTATTCTGCTTTCCAATTCCAGCACCAACACCAACTGCAATGGCAATAACCACAATCACAATGATGCCAATCACTGCAAATTTCAGGAGTTTCTGCCTTTCTTGCTTCTGTCGTTTGCTCTGCTTGCCTTCATCCCAGTGCTCGGCCGTTGGCAGCTCTGGGCTGTCTTCTACCACAGGGTTAGCAGTCACTAGGTTTTCATGAACAGAACCATCCCCATGATCGCTGAATTGTTCCTCTGCTTGTTCTTCAACTGGCAAGGAAAGGGGGGCAATGGTGCTGCCACCATCTGCCATAGCTGCAAATGCTTGATATGTTGGTGGGGCTCTGTATTGTGGAGCTTCCCGCGACAATCCTTGGGCATAGGCCCCCGGTAGAGAAGGGCGTCTGGCACGATTGTTAGTGCTTGGCAATTCCATTGGTACAGGTATATTCTCAGGATCCAGCATAGATGCAAAAGTTGAATATGGTTTACTCTGGGTGGCTGCTGAGTAGGTCATGTTGTCTGAGGCTGTTGAATAGGTCAAATTTTCTGTTGCTGCGGTGGATGCATCTCCTGGAATGTCTGGACACTCACCATCACACATCTTCTTCCCAGCATCCAACTTCGAAGATTCTAAACCGGCAGCGGCATGAGTCTTAATGTTGCCAATGGTAGCTCTCTCAGGTGCATTGTGTGTGTTGACTGACTGGACCTTTAATGCCTCGTCTCTTGCAGTTCTGTCCAAAGCAGCAGAGGGGGCAGCAGAATAATTGGCAGATTGGGCCTTGAGCTGATCATCTCTAGCAGCTTGCTCCAAAGCAGCAGCAGAAGTGGAAGTAGAATAATTGGCAGACTCAGCCTTTAACTGCTCGTCTCTAGCAGCTTGTTCCAATGCAGCAGCAGAAGTGGAAGTGGAATAATTGGCTGCCTGAGTCTTTGCTTGCTCGTCTCTAGCAGCTTGTTCCAATGCAGCAGCAGAGGTGGAAGTAGAATAATTGGCAGACTGGGCTTTTAACTGCTCATCTTTGGCAGCTTGTTCCAAAACAGCAGCAGAAGCCAAATTGGAATAGTTGGCGGATTGGGCCTTGAGCTGCTCATCTCTGGCAGCCTGCTCCAAGAGAGCAGCAGAAGTGGAAGTAGAATATTTGGCAGCCGGTCCTTTAACTGCTCATCTCTGGCAGCTTTGCAGCAGCAGCAGAAGCCAAATTGGAATAGCTGGCAGATTGGGCCTTGAGCTGCTCATCTCTGGCAGCCTGCTCCGAGAGAGCAGCAGAAGTGGAAGTAGAATATTTGGCAGCCTGCTCCTTTAACTGCTCATCTCTGGCAGCTTGTTCCAAGGCAGCAGAAGTGGAATGGAAGTGGAATAATTGGCTGACTGAGCCTTTAATTGCTCATCTTTGGCAGCTCGTTCCAAGGCGGCAGCAGAAGTGGAAGTAGAATATTTGGCAGCCTGCTCCTTTAACTGCTCATCTCTGGCAGCTTGTTCCAAGGCAGCAGAAGTGGAACTGGAAGTGGAACTGGAAGTGGAATAATTGGCTGACTGAGCCTTTAATTGCTCATCTTTGGCAGCTCGTTCCAAGGCGGCAGCAGAAGTGGAAGTAGAATATTTGGCAGCCTGCTCCTTTAACTGCTCATCTCTGGCAGCTTGTTCCAAGGCAGCAGAAGTGGAACTGGAAGTAGAATATTTGGCAGTCTGCTCCTTTAACTGCTCATCTCTGGCAGCTTGTTCCAAGGCGGCAGCAGAAGTGGAAGTAGAACAATTGGCAGACTGGGCCTTTAACTGTTCGTCTCTGGCAGCTTGTTCCAAGGCAGAAATTGAGGTGCTACCCTTGTTGTCGACCTTGGTCGGACTACTATTCGAGCTTCCATTATCCGTTTCCCTGGACTGGTTTTCGGTAGCGCCATGTTCGGAGTTGCCCACTGGACTGCCGCCAACGCCGTCGTTGGACGTCTCTTCTGATATCCTATCGTCTCTAGTACTTGGCATGTCAGTTCCTTCGGTGATAAAGAGTCCACTTTTCACTAACCAGTTCTCTGGCAGTGTGGAAGCTGGCTGGTAGTAGTATTATGAGGTCTACTACCTTGGACCTTCGAGTGTTGAGCAGGCGTCCCCGTCGAGTTGTGGCGACCAAGTGGTCTTGTATGTTGACGGGTCATTCTTCGCAGCTTTCCCTTAGCCCTACTGTAGATTCGGCTTCTGCAAACTTTGCTTTCCGCTCGACCATCACCTCTCATTTTTTCTGGGTCGATCCAAGCAACCCAACCATAGCAGTCTGATTGTCTGATTTGTTGGTAGTGTAGTGTATTGGCCACCCAGCATGTCCTCTCCATCTCTCTGTCGCTCCCTGACGCTGCTCCCGCATCGCGCATCCTGGTCTCTTCGAGCCATTGTGCATTTAATCTCGACACATCAATTGACGTGTGAAGAGTTGGCGCGATATTGTCATTCCACGGCAGTGGCAGGCGACCAAGTCTGGGAATTGGGGGCCTTTAGCCGGATATCTTCCTGGGAGGATATTGCTCAAGCCGCTCGAGAATCGGATCAACGGCGTGCCAATCAAGAACAACGGAGTCCCTTGGATGGGATTCCCATTTCCATCAAGGCCAATTTGGCTGTAGCAGATCATCCACTGACAGCGGGCAGTCGCATCCTGGGAGCTTTTTCCAATTCCGACCACAATAATCATAATGTGGGATACAATGCTGCCGTGGTACAACGCTTGGTCGAAGACTGTGGCGCCATTTGCATTGGTATTACCAACATGGATGAATTTGGCATGGGGAGTCTGGGAACCAACACTAGCAATTCCAAACCGACCAAGAATCCCTTGGCGTACTTGACATCACCACCACCCAATGCACCCGAAATGACACTGGCAGAAATCGTGAAACACGATCCTTCCGACATTTTGAAAGCTCACCAAGAGCAGCAACAGCAAGATCAAACCAACAACAATAATTATGCCGCAGGTGGATCCTCCTGTGGGGCAGCCGCTTCCATTGCTCATGGATCGTCTCTGATTGCCTTTGGATCGGACACGGGTGGATCCATTCGATTGCCGGCCGCGTGGTGTGGAGTCGTTGGGTTGAAACCATCCTATGGACGCTTGAGTCGCCACGGATTGGTCAGCTATGCCTCTTCCTTGGATACCGTAGGATTCGTGACACCCACGGTCGACTGTGCCTCGATGGTGTTGGAGGAGTTGGCCGCCGACAAGTCCATCCCGAAGGATTCCACGTCTCATGTCTACTCAACCACCCAACGAAATAACAAACCACAGGAGACAATCACCCGAGAAGAACCAACCACACATGATAGCAGCAACCATCCCTTACAGGGTATCAGGATTGGAATTCCGGCTGCCTTTTGCGTGGAAGAATGCCCCGACGCGGTCCAGAAAGCCTGGACCCAAGGGGCCAATGATCTGGCCGATGCGGGTGCCTCTGTAGTGCACTTGTCCCACGATATTGTGTCACCCGAGATGATTCAACAAAGTTTGGCCGCTTACTACGTGCTTGCATGTGCCGAAGCTAGCTCCAATCTCGCCCGATACGATGGGTTCCGGTACGGAGTCGCGGCGGAGACAGCAGCAAATGATACTAATGATGACAATGACGAACGTTCGTCTCTGCATCGACAATATGCCGCGACGCGAACCACCGGATTTGGACTGGAAGTCATTCGACGCATCTTATGTGGCACGGCCGTCTTGTCCTCGGACAAGTTCCACACCCATTACGAAGGTGCTGCCAAACTCCGTGCCTTGGTGACTCGACAACTTCACAATGCTTTGGAAACACATGTGGACTATCTGTTGATCCCGACTGTAGTCTCGCCACCGCCATGTTTGGACGAGGAGGCCGTGGACAGTACTGCCATGTTTGCCAATGACATCATGACCGTGCCCATAAGTCTGGCTGGATTGGCAGCCGTAAGTGTAGCCCCGGATACCGCGACTGTGGACGGAGTGGTCGGGTTACAGCTAGTGGGGCATCGGCTCGATGAAGAAAGACTGCTGGAAGTGGCTCGATACTTGGCTAGGCAAGCCACGTAACGTTTTAGCTAGACTACGGGGGAGTAGTATGTAGAATATCGTTATTCCTTAATAAAATGGAAACAGGATGATATGAAATTAGAGTGGAACAGTGTAGATTGATCGTGAATACAGCTGGTTTATGCAGTGCGTGTGAATGAGCTGAGCTTCAGCAGCGGCCTTCCCGCTGAAATCTCAGAACCCCGGGCGTGAAGTAATCTTGACTTTGTGCCATGAGAGCCTACAACAGGTCGTGTTGCTGTTCCAGTTGCTGTTGCTGTTCCAGCTCCAGTTGCCGTTGCTGTTGCAGATGTGCCTCGTATGCTTCCCGCATCCTAGGTAGAGCAAATTGGAGGGGGGCTTCCTGCTGCCGATCCTTGAATCTTTGTCGAACTTGGGCCATCATCTCTTGCTTTGGGGTCAAGCTTTCACGCGGCAGTCGTTTCTCTTTCTTCGATCTCGTGCCGTCGTGATCATGGAGCCTCGAGTCTGCTTTCAATCGAGATAAGTGCTTATTAAACTCCGACTCTGGCGTTTCATCCTCGCCAACATCGTGAACCTTTATGACGCCAGAAGCGATCAGATTCTTTATTCCCGATAATACCTTCTTGTTGTCTTCTTGCTTCCTTTCGCTATTTTTCGTCAGGGCCAACTGAGCTTTCAAAGCTTGGACCTCCAGTTTTATGCTTTCTTCGTGAAAATCTCTTTCGTTCTTAGCTTCATCGTCGTCGGGCGTAGCGTCGTCGTCATCTGCTGCACTAATGATACCGACGTCGGTCAACTCGTGCCCTACCCATTCAGAAAGGTTTGGGGGACTTCCCCAAACAACAAACTTCTCCAGTGGATTCAGAAAATCTTCCGTCATGACTTGCCCAAAGTAGTTCGTGCGATTGCTCGTGTCATTGTATGATGTATCGATGTTCTCCACTATTGTACGAATTTCAATGATGTCATCGACGTGCGGGATTTGGACGTCCAAGATTCCTTCTCCCTGAATGGAAATGTTCGTGTCCCGTGAGGTCAGGATAGTGATTCTACTTGTATCGTCCTGGAAGCGATAGTGGCGTTCCGACAGCGTCGTTAGAGCACCTTTGGATCCAAGATCCGTGGAAATTCTGGTGCTCATCCTCAGAATAATGCTGCTGTCAGACGACAAGGCATCTTGACGCGATTGTGGATTGTTGTGTATGCTTTCCAGAAGGATATCCGTCACGCCGTCTTGGGAACGAACAGTGCGACGCAAATTGAGGGTGTCCATTAGGATGTTTGTCGTGAAACTGGTCAAGCCAAAGTGGCATGTGGATTGTTTTCCGTTGTTCGATTTTAGCAGCACACGTTTGTCACCTCCGCGCAGCCATGTTTCGTGAAAGGGATGGGTGAGCATCCCCTGATCATCGTGGCATGTTTTTCTCTGAATGTACAGTTGCTCGACCATCTGAGCTTGGTGGTTCCAACCAAGCCCATACTTCTTGGCAAATGCCCACCTGAAAACAACATAAACAAATGTACCAGATGATAGCGTTGAATGATTCAATTTACTCAGCAAGACTGCAGATGCCAACCCTCTTGCTCACTCACCTGCAGGTTCTACAAGTCGAATGTGAATGGGTAAAGTTGAATTTTCGCACAAAGGCTTCCGGAAGTGGTTGTGTCCTCCATGCGTGATAGGATTCGTAAAGTGTTTTGTTGTTGGCTACCTCGTGCAAATACTCTGCAAGCGCATCGGACGAATTGAAGGCGTTGGCATTGATGACGGAATGAGGCGGGACATGTTCGCCCACGTTCGGAGCACCGTAGTAAATTGGGACTATGCATCGCGTGACAAAAAGGCGTGAGTTTCAAATATATCTATCAAAAGGTGGCCCACAACACAACAACCTCATGTGCATACCTGATCCTGACTGAAGTGTCCCCCATAGCTTTTCAGAAACGTAATCATCTTCGCATTGATTCTCGAATGCGAGCGCAAACAAGTATCGTCCCATAATGTCCACCTTTTCCGTGAGTCCATCGGGAGGGTCGCTGTTTTTCAAACACGACGAGACAGAGTCGACCCGAAACTCGGACTCGATCAATGCTTTGACAAGCGCCTCTCGATTGTTTCGGCTATTGCAGTTTCGCGCCAAAAAGACCGCTCCCTTGATGGCTTGATCGTACTGGACAGAGGTGCCTACGGTACAAAGCAGGAGAGTTCGGCAAGAAGGCAATAATGTAAGAAGCAGAAGCACGCTTATGAAGTGCAAGAGAGTGTCAACTGCAAACCAACGCATGTACAGTCATAGTCATGTCGTACCTTGAATGCTGTTTCCATATTCTTTCCAACTAAAGTACGGCAATGGCACTTCAGACTTTAAGGAAGTTGTCGAGTAGTATTTGTGGTATCGATGTGCTTTTGGATTGATTCGCAGTTGCTGGTAGTACTGCGGCCCCTCCATGGAAAACTCGACCGCAAAGGGTGTTGTTCGTACGAATCTTGTCATGACGACGCCTGGATTGTCGTCACTGATACAGGGAACATCACAGGGAAACTGTTTCATCTGAGCTCGTCCGACGGGTCGGAATCGCACTTCCATGGGTTCCATGTCGGCCATGGCCTCCATGGTCGGGACGATGGGATACAATCGTGGTGGATCGGAACAGTTGAGATCGTGCCGCCCAATGACGCGGATACTGGCGGGGGCAATGCGACTTCCATCGCAGAGCACTCGTTCTTGTTCGAGTGGATTGAATAGAACGACTCGTCCTCGATGTCCTTGGAATCGTTGTTGTTGTTGCGTCATGTGATAGTGACAATCTTGCTTGGCGTACAGGTCGTTTGGATTGTTGCGCCATCGACAGGACATGACCTTGGTGGCACCGTTCAGTTTGTGCTGAATGTGCTGACTAATATTCTGCAAGTGTTCCACGTACAAGTCATCGACTTCGGTCAAGAGAGGATCGTTGAAAGTCGAGAGACTCGGATCTCCTTGTTCGTGGCTAAGTGTGGCGGTTTTTCGCAGTGCTGATGACGACGAAGGAACGGACTCTTGCTGATTATTATTGTAAGCCCGCCGATGACCACGCGCCTTGATACGAGGAATTTCCACACGTTCCGGATCCTTTTCGCGATAGGGGATGTACGGTCGATTTCGTAGATCATTCATGTCACCGAGTCGGGCTACCAACAAGGCTGTGAAAAAGACGTGCAGAAAAATGGCAAAGAGAATGATGCGAGGCAAGCTGGTGGCGGCGCATCGTCGTGCTCCCACACAGCATCGAACGACATGGTTCCACCACACGACACTCTTTTTCTGATGATGCGTAGGAGAACGCAGCGAAAGCGCCATGGTCTCGCGTATGGTTCTTTTCTTTTGTTGTTGTCGCATCTTATTCTATTCGTTTCAGTTATTGGTCGACATCGGTTTGGAGCCAAAATGTGAGCTCAAGAAGGTGCGGTAGAGCCGTTTTTGAGGTCTCTAAGTCCAGATCGTCTATTAGTAAGCTTCTCCCTAAGATCTCAAAGTTAGCCCCAGCCCTACGTATGTGTAGTTCTGGTAAGTTTCAGATAACAAGTCACAATGACTTGGAAAAGTCACACCTTTCTCACTCCAACCACAAAACTACTAATACTAGTTACCCAGATCTTTCGTTGCTGCACTCTTCCATTTCATCTCTCCACACTACTGCTGTGAAGGTCACTACAAATAAATAGATCATCATGCAGGATACCAGCAACAATAATGGCAAGTCGAAAGACGGCAAGAATGCTTCCTCTTCATCATGGTCCTCGTGGGCCCATCCCCAGTACATTCTATTGGCCGTTGTCTTTCTGCAGAGCTGTTTCATTGTGTTTCTGAGTTTTGAAGGTCCATCGCATCAGGATTCCTCGGCCAGAGTATCTGTGCATCGAAGCGACAAGCAATTGATGAAGTCCAAACGAGTCTGGAAGAATTCCAAAAAGAAATCCACCGTCAAAAAGCTGCAGATCCCCAAAGCTACCATTCCTCCTCAGTACAAGGACTCGATTCAATCCAAAGAGTGGAGTGTCAATTCCAAAGCGTTTCCAGGAGCACTTCATTTCCATTTTGATCGAGAACGATTGGAACCCTCCTTTCGAAAGCGTCTGGCTATTACATCCCAAGCACTCCAGCAACAAGCCGACCAAGATGCCAAAGATGCTGCACAACTCATGGTCCGAAAAGACCAAGAACTCCAACCCTGTCATTATTATACGAACGACAGTAACAAGAGACTTGTCAAGGAAGAATGTTTCAATATTGGCAAAAAGAGCAAGGGCATTATCGTCTACAATTCACAACCGTTCCCACGGCATTGGTGTGGCAAAACCATCCAACCCCACGCCGTCGCACACATGAAAAAACTATGCGAGCATGCATTCACCGAACCACCACGACTCTTGCTCGAAGCCTCCGATAAAATGATCAGCACCATACGGCGGGACTTGATGAAATTGCCACCCATTGTCATGCAACGCAAAGACTCGTATGGCTCGCTGGAAACGGTCAAAGACTGCAACGTTCCCTGCAAAGTCAGCATGGACACGTGCGCCATTGCCGATAATGACAATGCCAAGGGCGAAGTCTGTCTCCCCGATATTTCCGATTGGACCGTCGAAGGAACCGATTTCCACTTTCGCTATTCCTGGTTGGATCCCCGCCTCAATCCCCAAGAAGTCGCCATTTCACGAAAGGCGTATCGGGAAAACTACTTTTACGTCACACGATCCTTTCAATCGGAAATCCCCCTTTCGGCATTTGATTGGGATCGATACGGGGAAATGAAGAATGCTCCGAGGACTGATTTTCACAAATCCGGGAAACGAGGCATGGCCTTTTTTCATCTCGAACCGTGTACCGGAGAAATCAAACCGGCAGCGTGGGCGGGAAAAGTACAGGAAGCCTTCAAGGGAACCATTGATTACTACGGACCCTGCGAGTTTGGGAATGCCAATTTGAAACCGACGCGAACCAAGTTGGACATGAACCGATATCAAGATCGACAAACCATCATGAGTCAGTACATGTTCACCTTTGTCATTGGGCATTCGCAGAATCCCGACATGATTTCCGAATTGGTATGGGATGCCCTCACGGCGGGATCCATCCCCGTCTATTTTGGGGCACCCAACATTCGAGAGCATGTTCCCAAAAATAGTGTGATTGTGGGGGGAGAGTACTCGTCCCAAAAGGAACTGGCGGCACATCTGGACAAAGTACGACATTCCAGAGCATTGTGGGACAAACTGCATGCATGGAGAGATCAAGAGGGAACTCCTCTCGAGGACAAGTATGGATTTTTAAAGGAAAAGTCGTCCTCGTCCTACTGTCGCATGTGCCGCTTTGCATTGGCCACCAAGTACTCGTTGGGATGGAATCCTCGGACGCAAACCATTGAGAAGCCAGCCGTGGATCGAAAATTTTGCATCTCACCCAAGGATGAACTCAAACTGCCCGTGGAAGAGATATGGATGAGTGACATGGGAGCGGAAGCACCGCGAGGTAGAAAATTTTGTGACAAGAGTTCCTTTGTCGAACAAACGATCTCCTTTGATGACGTGGCCATTACTCGCAAAGTGCTCAGTCATGACAATGGTATTGTGGATATCGCAATCACTAGCATAGAGTCCTTGCGCAAAAAGCTCAAGCTTGTGTTGCGACTCTACATTAAGGATATTGACAATGTGGAGGGGGCACATGTACAACACCCGCATCAGCTCTTGATGAACAACGACAATCCATCAAAGCATATCCCGCTCGTGAGTTCGATTGCCATTCAAGATGGCAAGACGAGAGCAACAATCCTCACCAATTGGGTCGCCGAGTTGAAAACCCCAAAGTTGGGTGGCCTGGTCGATATTCTGATTAAGGATCTGACCTCGGCGGACGGCCCGGAAGTCATTCCCAAAGTAGAGTCGGAAGACAAAGAGACCGCGAAGGTTCCTCGTCTCATGAAAGACGAAGTCCTTCGAATCAGGGTGATTTTGGAAGATGTCAATGTGCTTCGCGATGCCGCCACCGAGTACAACATGTCTCCTTATGCACGCCTTATGATTACAGATTTTCTGGATCCGTTGATGTTCTTTTCCATCAAGTAAAGAAGAAGCAAATGAATCAAGCCGACCAAATGAAACGGGTGCTTGTGTAAACCCGACAGTAGAGGAGTACAATCGCGTTCCCCGCCCCCCCAGTAATCTCGTTTCTTGCCTCCCTGAAGGCAGCAGCCTAGTGGCGCCTAAAGCCGGTGCTCCTCCTCCCGAAAGCTCCGAACAATCTCTATGGGAGTCGACGAATTCTCGCAAATAACCATCCTAAGAGCCGGGTCCGGATAGTATGGAAGTGTGCTAAAATTACAGGGTTTCTTATCTAGTTCTTGTAGACTCGACTCGATTCATCATCGAGCTTCATCATCATTATGGTCGTCACCCGTCTCCTGAGCCCCAGTCTCTTTCTATTTCTGTTTCCTGTTCTAGTGGTGGGCGCCAGTACGTATCCAAGGTTCCGCAGCAGAGACTTGAAAGATGCCCCAAACTCTCACAAACCCCGGGAACGGTGATGAAGGAAGAATGCAATTCAACGTCCCCACAGGACATCATATTGAGCGAAGGTATGGTGACATCGCGATATATGTTGCTGGTTCCTTGCGGACAGAATGTGCACCAGCTCGTCATTGTGACACCCTCGCAACCGCAATATGCCTCCACGTCAATCGGAAGGATTGTCTTCTTTGCGGTGCAAGATGCTACAGGGGCCAAGTCAAGCTCTTCAGCCAGTTCTTGGCAAGTTTGTTTGGTATGCATAATCACTCTGTTTGGGTTCAACGGTTTGTTTCCACTGGAGCAAATGCGACAGTCGCTCCTGTCTTCTGTTGAGTTGGGCGGTGCTCCTGGATTCTGTGTGGGTATTGATGCTATTGCCGCATTCTGCTCTTCTCCATCCCACCAGAAATCGTCTGTCTGCTCATTCCCAGCAAAATCATCTTTGACATGATCTCTGGATAACTCTGTGGGGTCATCTTTCACTCTAAGAGATTTGTTGATCCCTGAGCTATCACCTCCATTCTGGACTCCTGCGGGAGCAAAGGAGGAAGGGCTTGTCGTGCTTGGAGTTGGAGTGGTAGGATTGGCTGTACTGGGACTGGCAGATGTAGGGGCTTCCGTAGTCGGACTGGCAGATGTGGGAGTTTCCGTAGTGGTGCTGCCACTGTCAATGCCAACACCATCACCAGCGATGCTGCCCCAACCAACTACAGTTACGCCCCCAAGCAGGTTGATATCTTCTCCAGCTTCATCCTCAGGTACCGCATTTTCGACTGTGTTGCTGTCATCTTTTCCGACTTTATTGCCACTGTTGTTACCATTGTTGTTGCTATCCCAACCAACGACGGTGACTCCCCCCAAGTTGGTCGTGCTATCTTCTCCGGATTGACTAGGTTGTGAAGGGCTAAGACTTGGACTTTGGGTTTGGCTCGGGCTGCCGCTCGGCGCCGAACTTGGAGCAGAAGAGGTAGGTATATTTTCGGTTGGGTTGAAAGTCCTAGCTGCCTGCCAGGTGCTGGGACTGTTACTTGGACTGTCTGTGGTTGGATTCGAAGATGGAAGGTCATAACCAGCAAGGGGTAAGGCATGAGCGACCGCATTGGCATCGATGTCCGCAGAAGATGATTGAGGCTCGTCTGGAGCTTCTCCTGTTTTCTCATCAGGAGCAAGGATGCCAAAGTCTTCACCTGCATGTTCTTGAGCAGCCAATTCGTCTTGATGCTCATAATAAGCTTCTCCTGGATAAGGATTACCAACAGCCGCTTCGACCTCGCCTTTATTTCCCCCCGGAGAACCCGCCTGTGCCTCAGCTTCAGAATTCAGTGGCTCCTCACCTGGCCTTCCTTTGCCGGCTCCGTCGTCGGGTATCTGTTCTTCAACCTGTTTCCCCGCTTTCTCTTCTCTTCCTTTCTTCTCTTGCTTCTCGATTTCACCATCAATGTTGGGTTCCTTTTCGTTCTTCGCCCGACCAACATTGTTCGCCTCACGATATGCTTCGGCTGCTGTCTTGGCTTGTTTGCCGCCCAACCTTTTGTTCCAGTTTATTGGTTCGTCATTCTCTTGATTCCACACATTGCCCTCAGGCTGGGCCAAGAAATCTTCCTCCCACTTGGTGTTTGAGGATAGTGCGATATCCTCTGTGTTTTCAAATT